TCAAAAATGTCAAGGAGAGAGGTTCTATTGTGAAGAAGGTTTCAGGGCGCCCAAGAAAGTCCAGCAAGTGCCAGAACTGTCTCCTAAAGTTGATTCAGTTGCAGGATCGGGGCACAAGCAGTACAGAGCTTGCACCGGAGTGGAAGCAGGCAGGTGTGTGAGTGCATCTGCATGCACAGTGAGGCTTTTGGAGGATGACCTGGTGTCAAGAAGGGCAGCAAAGAAGCCACTTCTCTCCAGGAAAAACATCAGGGACAGACTGATATTCTGCAAAAGGTACAGGGATTGGACTGCTGAGGACTGGGGGAAAGTCTGATGAATCCCCCTTCCGATTGTTTGGGGAATCCAGAAGAAACCTTGAATGGAGAAGAAAAGGTGAGCACTACCATCAGTCCTGTGTCATGTCAACAGTAAAGCATCCTGAGTGTGTGGTGTTACTTCTCAGCCAAGGGAATGGGCTCACTCACAATTTTGGCTAAGAACACAGCCATGAATAAAGAATGGGAAAAGTAAACAATACCCAACACAGAGTAGTGGCTGTGGGTATATAAATAGGCACCCAAGTGCCACGTCCTAATAGCACTAGTATAAATCGACCAAAAGGAAGAGGCCAGAATTTTGGACTTTAGAGGTACTGCAACAATATTCATTAAAATCGTTTATTTGACATACACAATTATGCAACAGTACATAAAAAACATCTCCTAAGAATGTAAGAACCCCATTAGGGTTGGTGCATTCTATGCAGTTACAAATCTCGTAGATACATAAAATCTTGATCCATACAAAAATACTGTGTCCCGTAAGGGTGTCAGGGAACATGAATCAGGTGTCTATAGCCTTCGTGACTCAACATTTTTCACGGGAATATCGCTTCTTCAGGAGTTACTACATAAGAAAAAAGTGAGTATAGATATAACATGACATGTTATATTGTCCATCATCATTAACCATATTCTGAATATACCTTAAACCACAGGCATCGTAGCGGGGGTTACGGAGGGGGAAAAGGCATCCAACGCCTAGGCAAGTCGACGGGGGGGTCCCAAAAGAATAGACCATGTTGTGGACAGTCCTAAAGAGGACTTCCTAATATATATATAAAATATACAGCTATTAAAGCATAAGAGTCTTCCCAGATAATAAAAAATTGATGGTAGAAAATGTACTAACCTTCCAACCTGAGGAAGGTATAATGATATCACAGATTTCGAAGCTACAAACCCACATAAATGATATTCCATCACCTAGACTATGTGGAGGAAGTGTAGTCAAATCTCCAATTTCCTCCACATCAGGAGTAATAATCAGTGTTGATAGTATCTGGAAAGGCCCCAAAAAGGGACAATTAGATGAAATACAGAGTGTTTTATCATTACAATGTCACAAAATTGTAAGTGACATTTCAATATATAGGGGACAGGACTACATAGTGAAATAAGTAACTACTGATCTTACTATATGCAGACAAGGGGCCGATGGGGCAGATTCCACCAGTATAGTAATTTTAAAATAGTATTAGGAACGATAAGATCATCTATCAGAATCCCATCTGCAATGCAAATGACCACAAAGGTCCAAAATTATATAAGTTATGACCCAAAGACACAGAAACGCCTTGACTGATGGTAATAGAATGTATTAGGCTATACCTGTATCGTTCAACGAAACTCACTGATCCCCTTTGCCCACCTGGGGCTAACGCCAAATATACCTGTGCTGTCCAGCTATGGTTTCCTGCTTTGTCCCACTGTAGTTGCCTGCAGGACCGTCAGTGACCGTTCCATCTTATGGGATCCCAGCATGGCGCATCCACCATCAAGATGACAGCGGGGAAAACATTGCAAGCGACACCCGGCCAATGCCGGCCACCACTAAAGGATCCCCCTGTCGACTTGCCTGGGCGTTGGATGCCTTTTCCCCCTCCGTAACCCCGCTACGATGCCTGTGATTTAAGGTATGTTCAGAATATGTTTAATGATGAATGATGGACAATATACCATGTCATGTCATGTTATGTTATATCTATACTCACTTTTTTCATATGTAGTAACTCCTAAAGAAGCGATATTCTCACGAAACGTGTTGAGTCTCTATGGTTATTGACATCTGATTCATGTTCCCTGACACCCTTACCGGGACACGGTATTTTTGTATGGATCAAGATTTTGTGTATCTATGAGATTTGTAAATGCTTAGAATGTACTACCCCAATGGGGGTCCTACATTCTTAGCAGATGGTTTTTATGTACTGTTGTGTAATTGTGTACACCCAGTAAAGAAACAATTTAATGAATATTGTTCCAGTGCCTCTAAAGTCCAAATTTCTGGCCTTCTCTTTTTGGTTGATTTATACCATCAATAAAGAATGGTACAAAAACATCCTCCGAGAGCAACTTCTACCAACCATCCGAGAACAGTTTGGTGATGAACAATGCTTTTTCCAGCATAATGAGGCACTTTGCCATAAGGCAAAAGTGATAACTAAGTGACTCGGGGGACAAAACATCAAAATTTTGGGTCCATGGCCAGGAAACTCTCCAGATCTTATTCCCACTGAGAACTTGTGCTCAGTCCTCAAGAAATGGGTGAACAAAAAAAACCCACAAATTCTGACAAACTCCAAGCATTGATTATGCAAGAATGGGCTGCCAGAAATTGATTGACAGCATGCCAGGGTGAATTAGGTCTTGAAAAAGAAGTGTCAACATTGCAAATATTGACACTTGGCATAAACTTAATGCAATAAAAGCCTTTGACAGGTCTGAAATGCTTGTAATTATACTTCAGTATACTATAGTAACATCTGATAAAAAGATCTAAAAACACTGAAGCAGTAGACTTTGTGAAAATTAATATTTGTGTCATTCTCAAAACCTTTGGACATGACTGTAGTTAGTGGTGCCCATTATGAGCTCTTGCCGTCCCTTAAAACCCATCTTCCATTTCCAATTAATCTTCAGTTTATAGAACAGACAATCACACTGTGAGCCTGTTTTCAGCTGGTATAGAAACTTGGCATATACTTAGTCAAATGTCAAGTGACCACACTTCTCAAAATGTTGAGTGACTACTGTAGTAATGCAAAAGTGAACTGAAGTTTTATGCTGTATATTTACCTGGAGCTGTTCTTATACAGAACAGATCCACCCAAAAACGCATATCAAAATATTATTTTATCAGCTACTAGCCTCTGGCATTTCTCTGGAATAGTAACAGTAAGATTTCCCCTACTAGAGATCCAATTCTTTCAGTTGCTGTGGCTATTCTGATTAAGGGTCCTTTCACATTGATCAATTTTTGATCTGCTTTTAGGGTTTAAAAAGCAAAAGAAAAATGTATCGCTTTAAATCCTATAGAAAACTTCATGCCAGTGCATTTTTAAAACACCGGTGCGTTTATAAAACAAAAGTCCTGCATGTTGCATTTTTGTTGCATGTTTAAACAGCACATCAAAAATGCACCTCCCCTTAGAAAATAATGGAAAATGCATAAAAAATGCACCATGGTTGTTACAGGTGCATGCTGGGAGCCAGGTAACCAGAAAACGCATCAAAAATGCATATGCCTTTTTACAACGTTTTTTCAACAGAGCAGTGTGAAAGGGCCCTAAAGCAGTGGTTCTCAACCTTCCTAATGCCGTGACCCTTTAATACAGTTCCTCATGTTGTGGTGACCCCAACCATAAAATTATTTACCCAGTAATTATAATTCATGAGTGTCGTTTTACCTCCAATACTGCTGCTTTTAACAGAGTAGCTGCTTTCAACACAGCAGCTGCTTTCTACACAGTAGCTGCTCTTTACACATCGGAAATATGTGTTTTCTGATGGTCTTAGGGGACCCCTGTGAAAGGGTCGTTCGACCCCCAAAGGGGTCGCGACCCACAGGTTGAGAACCACTGCCCTAAAGGATTCTTGTTGTTCTTGCTGGATTTTTTTTAGAATGCTGAATCAAAGGCACAAGGGAGTATATGGCCAAAAAATGGGCAGAGCTGGGAACTCCAATATAGACTCAGGTGTGCTAACATGCATTATTTTTCCACATTCAAAAAATGCTTTTTTATTGAGGTAATAAAAGAGGGGGGGACAGGAAGGCTACCGAAAAAAAGGAAGGGGGAGTATAGGAACAAAATGCATACAAAAACACAGAACTTAATAACAGGAAAAGTATTACAAGCGCATTGTTGTGCATCTTAAATGCGCTTTTTGTTTTTTTTTTTGTAAAACTAAATTTCACCTTCCTTGAATGGCACCCAAACTGCAGCATGCTGCAGATTAGTGAATGGTGTGAACAACTTTTTTAAAAGCATAGGATTTTCCATGTTTATGCCTCCTTTTTGTTTTTTTGTTTTTTTTTTTCTTTTTTGTGGCTTATCTCATGTGAACAGGTCCTGAATGATATAAAAATCTGTAGGATAAGGTTTGCCATAGATGTGGAATGGAAAACTGTCAGGCATGGGTAATAAACATGGATTCTGGGTTATCTTGAATGAAACATTAGTGATTGTTGCACCATAAGTGTACCTTATTTTCCCAAATATACAGTCATCCAGGGGTGTCTAGTACTACCAGCCATTTTTAACAAGTTTAATTTTCAGTAAGCTGATTTTTTAATACCACACGCACTCACAAAATGGCCAACCCATGGCGTACTATATGTGAGTGTTGCTTCTCTCTAAATATTTTCACAAGACATCTCCAGGACATTTCATAGTAAAATATGACACAATTCTGCAATGCAACTTCTAGTCAAGAAGCATTTCCCTTCACTAAGGAAGTAATGCTCAGAAGCTGACCACAGAGAGCCGAGGTAACAAGCCAGGAAGTGATGTCGTTTATCATATCCAACCATGACAGCTACCTATGACAGGAAGCCATAGCCACAGAGAGGAAACAAGAGAACAGCTTCAGAAGAGCCGAGGGGGCACACAGCATTCAAGATGAATCTCGATCTATGGAGCCAACGCTCGCTATGAAGACCAGGGGGAAACATTTTTGATGGCACCTGCAGCGAAAACCATGGAGGGAGGTGGAAAGCCCCATGAGTCCCTCGAGGAGGATGGCGAAGTTTGGTATGACAGATTTTGGGGATGAATGAGCACAGATTTAGCATGACCTACTTTATGTAAAAGAAATGTGTTCTGTGTCAAAATCGTATTAGTTTCAGTTCAGTGTTATGACTTATACTAAATAATCACATTTTTGCACCTTTTAGAATTTGTGTGCAAGCCAGGGGTCAGAACGGCAGCTTCCATCAAAGCCTTCTCACAATGTTTTTTGCTTTAGGATGATTTCCTTTAAAAAAGTCAGTAAAACAAAAATGTAATAACTTTATGGAAATACTAATAACGCTGTGTTTGTGACTTATACTCCTTCACAGATGATGAGGTATTTCCTATTTATATACTGTAACAGTACAGTCCATCATTCTATGTAAGCTGCCATTTTTGGCTAAACAGGGCTTAAAAGGGAAAGTTGGCCCTGTTCTGTGATTTCTGATTTACCCGAAAAGCCAGCACACAATATGGGTATAACTCAAAAATATTTAAAGTCTTTACTGAGTGCAAACAAAAAGAGACATATCCACCGTCATTTCAGGGCTTCTATGGACCCTTTTCTGAAGGTGATAGATAATGATCTCTGTTACCTTGAGAAAGGAGTCCATTGAAGTCTGTCATCTTGAGAGAGGGGACCTGTAAAGTGTGCTAGCTTTCCATGTCATTGATCTACAATATCACCACTAACTGTGCACCCCTTAAGAACGGAAAAGATTATGGTGATGGGTGGATTGGACTAATTTGGTTATATGATTAATGGAGGGAAGTCAGCTGATCATTTGACAATTAGCACTTCCCAGAACATCTTCTGTACTGTTTCTTGGCTGTAATAAGCCTCTAAAAACTGTCACTTAATATCCATTTTTTTTTTACTGGTGTTCTGTTTAGTAATAATTTAGTTGCATTGTAGGTTATCGATCACCAAAACCAAAGACCCAATGTCACTAATAAAGTTTGGATGAGTTTGTATGAAATATTGTTACTGCATTTGTCCGAGAGAGGCTACTGTAATACCCTGTTTCCCCTAAAATAAGACCTACCCTGAAAATAAGACCTAGTGCTATTTTTAGGAATTGCTAAAGTATAAGACCTACCCCGAAATAAGACCTAGTTGTGATCAGGGTTTTTTTTTCAGACGGGACATGGTGGAACGCCATTCCACCACCTCCGCCACTGGCTTTGCGCACACCCATATCTACTGTCTCTTATAAACACAGAAGCGAGACTAAAGTAACAGCACCATCCGCTCCCACAAAACCTCCTCCGCTCCCACAGAACCTCCTTACCTCTGTACTCACTGTGGGACAGGGAAGGAACAGATATCTGCGGGTGCAGTATGCAGTGTGTTTAGGAGCGGGGCATCTCCTCCTCCAGCCTAATGCATGGAAGCGATACCCCAGGGGTGATCACCGGCCAGTGGAGAAGAGGCGGAGCAGTGAGTAAGTGCACTTGGTGCACTGTGTGGGAAGATAGGACCCGAAACGGGAGTTACTATAGAGAGGGGCCGGCTGCTGACAGCTGTGTTTTGCAAAGCTAGCTAACCATATGGGGACAGTGGAGGGGGAGGGGGGGGGGATGTACAAAGGTGAGCTGCAGTCAGGTGATGCAGAGGTAAATTGAGTCAGGTGAGTTGCAGACAGGGTGCATAGGTGGTTGCAGATAGGGTGCATAGGTGAGCTGTGGCTGGGGGGGTGCAGGGGTTAGCTGCGGCTGGAGGGGTGCAGAGGTGAGCTGAGTTGCAACCCACCTTTGCACCCCCAAGCCACAGCTCAGCTCTGCACCCCCTGGTCACAGCTCACCTCTGCATCCCACATCTGCAAATCAATCCTGCACCCTGTCTGTGGCTCCTGTCTGCACCCTGTCTGAAACTCACCTGTCAAGTCACCCCTGCAACACCTGACTGCAGCTCACAACTGTCATCAGCCGGCCCTCTCCATAGTAACCCTCATCCACAACTGCCTGCAGCTCACCTCTGCACCCCCTGTCCACACCTGACATTTAAAAAATAAGACCTACCCTGAAAATAAGACCTAGTGTGGTTTTTGAGCCAAAAAAAAAATATAAGACAGTGTTATTTTCGGGGAAACACGGTAGCGCTGCCATTGGCAAAAGCTAACAGCTATTCTCCTGCTGCTGTCAATCAAAATACCAGCCACCAGCTACTGCTGTAGTGATCTCCACCCTAGTTGGGGGCTGCAGGAGATTGTGTGCGCTGTCTTTTCACAGTACAATAAGGGCAGAGGAGGAAAGGGTTAAACAACAAGGAAGGCTGCAAAACCAGAGAGGGGGCTGTAGTTTTAGTCCTCATGCACACTGAATGTTTATACAGCAGCTGTTTTTGGCTTTTGACATTATTTTCTACAGCCAGTAAACCCCCCCCCCCAGTATGTTATCCTATATTTCCATGCACACATAGACTGTAATCAACGTTTTTTGGCTGGAAAAAAAAACTTAGAACTAGTGGGTTTCTAGAAGAGTTTTTTAGCTGTAAAAAGGCTCTAACTCTAAAAAACGAGGCAAACCGGCATTTTTGGATTTTTTTTACCAAAAAAAACCCTAAATAACGCAAATGCGAAAAAAAACGGTTTTGAAAAACGTGACGTTTACACAGCTAACGTTACCAGCATTATTAAAATGTCCAGTGTGCATGGAGCCTTAGAGCTGCCTTTATCCTTTCCATAGGAATGCCTATTTAGGCTTCCGCTGAGAGTAGAGATACAGGCAGCACTGATAGAAATAAAAATTACAAATTATTTTTAAACCATAGCACAGATTTTAATGGGGACATGTGCTATGTGCACTTGGGTCCTTGGGAGTTTTAACAAGCCTCAACTTCTGGTAGGAGTTCTTATTTGAAGTGTGTGTTTGTAAAAAAATAAAAACAAATATCCAGTACACCTAATATGAGCATATTTCTCCATGTAATATACCTTTACAAAATATGTAAGCACAGAAAAATAACCAATTTATCCTACCAGAAATCCAAAAAGCTCTTAATGTCTTGTGGTGTGAGAATGTGGCCACTGCTGCACAGAAATCCCAAGCAGTGTTACCAGCCCTATCCTCTTCCTTGCTGGACTACAGACCTCCCTGCCCCCTCACCCCAAGAGGATGTGCTCAGTAGTCAGGCAGGAGAAGCTTGGGAAGGGTTAAAATATGTGATTTGGAGCTCAAGCTCACTGGATTTCTGGCATATTGCCAAGTACATTTCTGTATTTGCTACATTTTTCACAGGACAAATCTTTGGAAAATATACATTTATTGCAGAAAAGTGAGGCTCTGTTCACATCTGGGCGTTTTGCCGCAATCCCAAAACACTGTGCAAAAATGACAAATCGCACCATTATTTTCAATGGCACTAAAATGCGGTGAATTATGCCCCGATTGCCACGTGCTCAATCGCACAAACCTTGTCACCCCAAAAGACGTTCCTGCTTCTTTTTTGGGGGACAAGCTTTGTGTGATGCAGCCTGCTGTGATTGCACTGCGATTTATCGCGGCAGAATTGCATCACTGTTTTAGGTGCCATTGAAAATTAATTGCACATTAACACGCATGATGCAATTTGTCATTTTTGCACAGTGATCTGCTATCGCAGGCAGAATCACAGCAATTCTGCCCGCAATTAAAAAATCTCAGATATGAATGGATACTAAAAGCAATACCTGATAAATTAATAAACCCTATATAACACCCTAACGGTGCAAAAATGTGTATAGAAGTCCAATATGTTATTATTATTATACAGTATTTATAAAGCGCCAATGGTTCGCTCAGCGCTGTACATTACAAAGGGGGACAGAACATGTGACAGAACAATACCAATACAATGCAAAACATGAGGGGAATGAGGGACCTGCTCTTTCCAGTTTACAATCTAGGAGGGAGGGGATGGTGGCACAGGAGGAGATAGCTGTGGGGGATGGAGTGGTAGGAAGAGTGGAGGAGGTCGGCAGGTTAGCAGGGGGTGGGGTAGGCTTCCCCAAAGAGATGGGTTTTCAGGGTGCGCCTAAAGGAGAGGAGAGTAGGTGATAATCTGATGGGTTGGGGCAGGGAGTTCCAGAGGATGGGTGACACCCTGGAGAAGTCCTGGAGGCGTGCATGGGAGGAGGAGACCAGGGAACTAGAGAGAAGGAGGCCTTGTGAGGAGAGCGGAGTGTGCGTGCTGGGCGGTACTTCACTATTAGGTCAGTGATGTAGTACGGGGCAGTATGGTGGACAGCTTTGTACGTCAGTGTTAGGATTTTGAATTTGATCCGTTGCGCAATCGGAAGCCAGTGGAGGGATTGGCAGAGGGGGGTGGCGGAGGTGGAGCGGTTGGAAAGGTGAATGAGTCTGGCAGCCGTATTCAGGATCGACTGAAGCGGAAATAGCCAGCGGCGAGGCAGGCCAGTGAGGAGGGAGTTGCAGTAGTCGAGTCGTGATATGATGAGGGAGTGGATGAGCTGTTTAGTGGTTTCTGGGGTTAGGAACGTGCGTATTTTGGAGATGTTGCGGAGTCTGCACGAGTTTGTTAAAGATTGGAATTGGGGCTGGAAGGATAGGTTGGAGTCCAGAATGACACCAAGTACTCTGGCCTGCGGGGCGGGTTTGATGGTGGCATTGTTGGATGTGACAGAGAAGTCAATGGGGGTGGTATCCGGGCTGGGGGGAAGACAAGAAACTCGGTTTTGGAGAGGTTCAGTTTAAGGAAGTGGAGCGACATCCAGTCTGATATGTCGCTCAGTAGGTGTGTGATTCGGGCGGGGACCGAGGTGGTGTGGTGGGGGGTTGAGAGATAAATTTGTGTGTCGTCGGCATAGAGGTGGTAGTTGAAGCTGTGAGAGTGTATGAGTTGGCCAAAGGAGGAGGTGTAGATGGAGAAGAGAAGGGGCCTGAGGACAGAGCCTTGAGGGACCCCAACAGAGAGGGGGAGTGAGGGGGAGGTGGTAGCATTATAGGTAACGCTGAAAGAGCGTTGTAACAGGTAGGATGAGAGCCAGGAGAGAGCAGAATCTCTAAGGCCGAGGGAGTGTACTTTTTTGAGGAGGAGGGGGTGGTCGACTATGTCGAAGGCCGCAGAGAGGTCAACGAGTAGGAGCACTGAATAATGGCCATTAGCTTTGGCGGTTCCAAATATGTATCCTATATATTTGTTATCCATTGATATGAAAGCTTCTTGAGAACATCTTCTGGGACGAAACCTGTTGGGGTGGTGCCTGTGCTGATGTCATTATGCTGCTGGCTTGAGCAGTGTCTGGGTTATTTGTTTTGCTCCTATACATTGCTGCCTATTGTGAGATGTTTTTGTTGCTAATAAAATGTTAAAACGATTTTACGCTATGATGCTTGTTATTTGTTTTCTTTGGTATAATCCTGACACATGCTGAGTGGAGGTACTGGCTGCAGCTGAATTCCTTTGATCTCTCCTGGTGTGCCATGTGGTCCCCAATCATCCCAATGCATTTACTGTACATTATGTGTGAGAGCTGACCTCTGAGGCTTTGAGGTCTGTTCATCTGGTAGGAGACTGTCATTTTATATATATTGGTGGTGGAGTTACAAGGGATTTTGAAGATTTTATATCACTGGATTACAATTATATTGTATATGATGGACTTTTATACACATTTTTGCACTTAAGGGTGTTATGTATGTTTTATTATTTTAAGGTATAGCACAACAGTTTTTGCTTTTGGATGTGTTTTTGAGTGCTGCTGTACATTTATTTTCTCACAGTTATTATTATTTAATATTTTTTGCACTAAGTGCAGTTTTTTTCCCCCAGAAATACAATTTAAATAACATTTGAGATGCTTTATGTGCAAGAGTTTATCTATAAATAACTTTCACAAAGGATTTCATGAGCTTATCAAAAAAATTTAACACTTAGAATCTGAAAAGATTCAGATAGGGGAAATATTTTTTCTGCACACTTCTAACTTCCTGCTCTGTAATTTTATTAAAGGACTCAGCATTAGGTTCTAATCTGCCTCAGGGAGCTGATAACGAAGAACAGTTTTACAATCACAATGGTAGATACAGTGTGAAATGGGTCATGTTCTGGAATTCTGCCATATTATGACATAGATTATGACCTGCTGTCAAACGTACTGCGTAACCATGGAAATAAAGTCAAAAGTTTGCCTTTCAGGAGTTAAAGGACTACTAATGCCTAGTAGAACAGTCCCATTCCAGTGAAAGCATCATTCCAGTGAAAGCATTACTTTTTTTGTTAGATATCACATTCCAAGGCTTCCTTGTCCCCAGCTGGGGGCAGCTGGGGGCGCAAGGCAGGATGCTATAAAACTAATAATATTCCATCTGTTCGCCTCCTAAAGGGCTCCAGTGCAGAGAGAGCGCTCCTATACCACTGGGTCACTGTCTGAGAGCTCAGGGGTAAGTAATTAGGGGCACTGTGTGGGGCACAGTGCTTAGGGGTGTATCTAATGACTTTTTTTTTTTTTCGTTTTAGCTGAAGAGGAGGAAACATGGAGACAGTTTACCGGCCCAAGTCACAGATGAAAAGGTGAATAAAAACAATACTGCCCATGGCGATTAAATTCTAGAATCTTCTGCTCTCTGCACACTGGCCCTACTCCCAGAATCCTCTGCTGTTTACACACTTACTCTACTCACAGAGTCTCCTGCTCTCTACAAACATTGGCCCTAGTCCCAAAATCCTTTGCTTATTACATTCTGTCTCTACTTACAGAATACTTTTCTCTCTACACAAACTGGCCCCACTCATAGGATCCTCTACTCATTGCACACCGGTACTACTCACAGGATCCTCTACTCATTGCTCAAACGTTTACATACCCTGGAATGTTTGGCCTTGGTACAGACACACAAGGTGACACACACAGGTTAAAATGCCAATTAGAGGTTAATGTCCCACATCTGTGGCTTTTTAAATTGTAATTAGTGTCAGTATATAAATAGTCAATGAGTTTGTTAGCTCTTACGTGGAAGCACTGACTAGGCTAGATACTGAGCAATGGGGATCTGAAAAGAACTGTCAAACGTACTGCGTAACAAGGTAATGGAACTTTATAAAGATGGACAAGGACATAAAAAGATGTTCAAAGCCTTGAATATGCCAATCAGTACTGTTAAATCACCTATTAAGAAGTGGAAAGTTCAGAGATCTCTTGATACCAAGCCAAGGTCAGGTAGACCAAGAAAGATTGCAGCCATAACTGACAGAAGAATTGTCCGGGATTCAAAAAAAACCCACAGGTAACCATGAAAGAAATACAGGCTGCTCTGGAAAAAAATGGTGTGGTTGTTTTTAAGGAGTATAATATGGTGATACTTGAACAAAAATGAGCTGTTTGGTCAAGGTGCCAGAAAGAAGCTTTTACTGCACCAATGCCACAAAAAAGCCCGGTTACAATATGCCTGACAACACCTTGACATGCCTAACCAGGCCTTTTTGTGTCATTGATGCAGTAAAAGCTTCTCTCTGGCACCTCAACCATGCAGCTAATTTTTTTCAAGTGTCATAATATTGTACTCCTTCAAAACAACCACACTGTCTTTTTCCAGAACAGCCTGTATTTTTCTTGTGGTTTCCTATGGGTTTCCCTTTGTATCCTGAACAATTCTTCTGGCAGTTGTGGCTGCAATCCTTTTTGGTCTAACTGTACTTGGCTTGGTATCAAGAGGTCCCTGAATTTTCTACTTCTTATTGGAAGTGATGACTGGCATATTCAAGGCTTTGGACTTCTCTTTATGTCTTTTTCCATCTTTATAAAGTTCCATTACCTTGTTACGCAGGACTTTTGACAGTTCTTTTCTGATCCCCATGGTTCAGTATCTAGCCTAGTCAGTGCTTCCACGTAAGAGCTATCAAACTCATTGACTATTTATACGCTGATACTAACTGCAATTTAAAAAGCCACAGATCTGGGACATTAACCTCTAAATGGCATTTTAACCCGTGTGTGTCACCTTGTGTGTCTGTACCAAGGCCAAACACTCCAGGGTATGTAAATTTTTGATCATGGCCATTTGGGTGATTTCTGTTATCATTATGATTTAAAAAAGATCCAAACAACTATTTGATAATAAATGGCTTCATATGATCATTATCCTTCAATAAAAGAGCATTTTTTAGCATGATCAGTCATATTTTCAATATCAATGCCAAAATTTCACAATTTCTGCCAGGGTATGCAAACTTTTGAGAACAACTGTATGTTAATTTATATGCACTTCAAGTATTTGTTGATAATAAAAAAAGGTCTCTCCAATTAGTGTATTTCTAATCAGGGGCTTCATGTATACTGTGTGTGCATTTATAGAACACTTCAAAACCACATCCTCCTTTCAGAAGTGCACTGTTCATGACAAGTGAAGCAAAGTTTCAGCTACTTCCTGTTTACCTACTCTGTCCTTGTGAACAAGCCCATCAGGGTGAAACACGTTTTAGGAAATGTGGTTTTTAGGTGGCGACTACATGTATGCAGCTGCGGCTCTCATCTTCTTATTTTCAAACTGTCAGCTGCTGCTTAATCCTGGATGCTGCACCTCCTGATTATATACACATTTCCTCTGTCGTTGTACCTCCACATTACATCCATGACATGCTATTTAGATCAGCACTGCCAGCGGATAAATTGCATCCCTAATTACTGCCCCTGCTAAAATAATTCATTCCTGTAATCCTATGCCAATTCCATTCTGTAATCTTATAATAACCACATATTGGGCCCTGATAAGTTATTAATAGTGCACCAAGTATTTGGCACAACAAAAACAGATTTATAGAATGTGGCATATAATTTTTCAAGTTAAAGTGGAACTTCACTCTCTCAATTAACATTGACTATTTGCATTCCTTATGCTGCTAGCATTAGAAAATCGGAAGGTATATCAAATTTACTTGTTGATTTAAACTTTTTTTTTATTACATTTCTTCAGTCACATCTTGGTTTCCAGGCCTAGGCAAATGATGTCATACATCCCAGGAGTCTTCAGGAGGGGAGGTGGGGCTTTTTCAGCTAAGCACATCCTCCTGCCTGTATGCCTGAGCTAACGGCAGATGGACTCCAGGAAGTAAATGTTCCATGAATCATTTGCCCTTACTCAAGATGGCACAGCAAGAAATTTTAGGGAGGAGGTTATCAAACTGATTTCTCAGCAAAAAAGCCTGGAGACATGGATGGATGGGGGAGTTTGCTTTGAATAATAAAAATTAATTAAATAGCGTTTTTGGTTTGTGGTGCTCAGATACAGTGTAGTTCCACTTTAGAATGTTTGAAAGATTAGACTAGCATGCCAAATGTGAAAAAAAAAAAACTGCAATGTTCCATAAAAGTCATGTGATCTGTATAAAAAATGGTTCAAAAAATATGTCTGTCAATATTTATTGTAATAGAGGTTTGCAGTATTGCACTTACAGTGTGATGAAGGAAGACAATGAAGACCTTGTTTTAAAAGTGCATTGGAATGTGTCTTGATGCAACTGTAAATTTAAGCATGTATGTCGGTGATATTTTTAAGGATAATGATTTATGGTGGATGACATTAATAAAATGGACGCGCAATATAAAAAGTAAATAGTGAATCACATCATATAGCATAAGTAAAAAAATTTCTTTCATTGTAGATATGCACTGTATGCAAGAATTGTGATGTTATGAAATAATAGATTGTGAGTTTATAGTCATGAACATAAGGGAAGAGATATTGGAAAAGTTAAAATAGCTGCTGGAATGGCTTTGCATGAGGTGGGAGGGGGTTCCCCCCCACCGCATTTCTGTGCTCTTCTGTCCCACCAGGCAATCCGAAGCGGGTGCTTCTGCTGGAATACCATAGAGATGTTCGAGGGCTGGAACGTCCCCGAGCATCTCTATGGTCTAAGAAACCAGAAGCAATGAGTATTTTGTCACTTCCGATTTAACCAGGATGTAACCAAGCCATTACTGGCATGTGAAAGCATCTGACCAAAACAATTTTGGATATGGAGTCTAAGAGGACCTGTCACGGCCCATGCTATCACAAGGGATGTTGCTCATTCCTGGTGATAGCAATAAAAGTGATTAAAAAAGACAGTGTAAAAAATTATTTGTTTTAAATAAAATAAATAAGTAAAAAATATAAAGCTCCCCTGTCCCCTCCCCCGGCACCCCCAGGGACGCAAAAAGGTGAGTGGATACCTGGGTCTCACACGCATATGTAAATGATGTTCACAAGGACATACACAATATTAAAGTGTGAAATGTTAGGTATCTAAGGTATTCACTCAGCATAACATATTTATAGTTTACAAAAAAATTTGTATTATGTGTTTGTGTGCATTAAAATTCATTAGTGTATTTTTCCCAAAAAATATGTGTTTAAAAACCTTTGCACTTAAAAAATTGCAATAGAGTTCTGATTCATGCAGAATTTTTTATGAAAAATTTCAAAACCAACCATTTTATTCTCTAGGGCCTCTGCTAAAAAAATAATATATAATGTTTGGGGGTTCTGATAAATTTTCTTGTAAAAAATGATGGTTTTTACACGTAGGATAGAAATGTCAGAATTGGCCCGGTAGGGAAGTAGGTAAAGAAAACAAACCATAAGGTCTCGTTCACATTAGTGTAAGTTCTTCTGCATCTGTCGTCTTGCTGCACAACAATGGAACTCACATTATTCTCTATGGAGTCCATTAACATCAAGGCAGCATGGTGCAGTAAAACTTTTGAAAAGGTGCAAGTGCTTCTTTGGTGCAGCATAGTGTGTGTTTGGCCTCATAGACTTTGTGTAGACAAATATTTCAGCAAGCTACCAAGGCTAGCTAGACATATGTGCTCTGGTGTTAATGTGAGATGGCAAAGCTTGGGGGACATTTGTCTAACAGTAGCTTTTAGACCCACTGCCCAACTAGCCTAACAGTTGTCAGGTTTCCTAGGTATTTAAAAAGGAAACAAATGTTACAGTTTCCTTGTACGATAATGAGCAGTTGAGACCTCGGATATGAGGAAAATTGCTTGATGAAAGTTGAGCTTTTTACTGGCTCCTAAAAGAGACACCTCCTCATCTGGGTACCTGCATTTGGATAATCGGATCAGAGTGGTATTAGTCTCTTAAAGTGGAACTAAACCTTCCTATGCTTTTCAACCAAGGAAAATGCCATCTGAGCTTCTGTTTGATCTGCAACTGCCATGGGTCTGCACATGTGATCAGTTATGACATCAGCCATTTTGATTGACAGTTTGGTTGAGTGCACAAGCAAATATGACAGTTATCATTCCTGGCATGCCGGGAGTGTAACTGTTTTTTGAAACCTTTAAATCGATTGGTTTAGTTCTGCTTTAATTAGTTACAAGTCTAATGATAGAGTGCTTCAAAACCTGAGAAGCTGTTTATGACAACCAATTGGCTTCTATCGTAAGCTTGTTCAGTTAAGCTTTGAAAATTGTCTGCAAAATGTCTGTGCTTTCCTACCTCTTTTCCTGCCAGCATTGCTGTTTGCAGTATGCGGGAGTATAAGTAGCGGCTCAAGATACACTATATTGCCAAAAGTATTGGGACACTCCTTCAAATCATTGGATTCAGGTGTTCCAATCACCTCCATGGCCACAGGTGTATATAATCAAGCACCTAGGCATGCAGACTGCTTCTACAAATATTTGTGAAAGAATGGGTCACTCTCAGGAGCTCAGTGAATTCAAGTGTGGTACTGTGATAGGTTGCCACCTGTGCAATAAGTCCATCTGTGAAATTTTCTTGCTACTAAATATTCCATGGTCAACTGTTAGAGGTATTATAACAAAGTGGAAGCAACTGGGAACAACTGCAACTCAGCCTCGAAGTGGTAAGCCACGTAAAATTACAGAGCGGGGTCAGAGCACAGTGCACAGAAGTCGCCAACTGTGTGCAGAGTCAATAGCTAAATACCTCCAAACAAAATGTGGCCTTCAGATTAGCACTACAACAGTGTAGAGAGCTTCATGGAATGGGTTTCCATGGCCGAGCAGCTGCATCCAAGCCTTACATCACCAAGTGCAATGCAAAGCAAAGCCTAGGATACAGTGGTGTAAAGCACGCTGCCACTGGATTCTAGAGCAGTGGAGACGTGTTCTCTGGAGTGACGAATCACGCTTCTCTGTCTAGCAATCCGATGGATATGTCTGGGTTTGGCGGTTGCCAGGAGAACGGTACTTGCCTGACTGTATTGTGCCAGGAGTAAAGTTTGGTGGAGGGGGGATTATAGTGTGGGGTTGTTTTTCAGGGGTTGGGCTTGGCCCATTAGTTCCAGTGAAGGGAACTCTTAAGGCATGAGCATACAAAGACACTTTTATGACATAATTTTGGACAATTTCATGCTCCCTTTGTGGGAAGATTTTGGGGATGGCCCCTTTCTGTTCCAACATGACTGCGCACCAGTGCACAAAGCAAGATCCTTAAAGACATGGATGAGCGAGTTTGGGGTGGAGGAACATGACTGGCCTGCACAGAGTCCTGACTTCAACCCGATAGAACACCGTTGGGATGAATTAGAGCGGAGACTGTGAGCCAGGCCTTCTTACATGACATCAGTGCCTGACCTCACGAATGCGCTTCTGGAATAATGGTCAAACATTCCCATAGACACACTCCTAAACCATTGTGGACATCTTTCCCAGAAGAGTTGAAGCTGTTATAGCTGCAAAGGGTGGGCTAGCTCAATATTGAACCCTATGGACTAAGACTGGGATGCCATTAAAGTTCATGTGCATGTAAGAGCGAGTGTCCTAATACTTTTGGCAATATAGTGTATAAAGGGTGAGGCTGTGTATAGATTGGTGACAGAGAAGAGTGGCATAGGTTAACCAGTCATATGTGAGGAGGAGGGCAGAACTCTAGTGTCAAGTTATATACTCACCAACCATTCTGCCTTTTGTCTCTTTTTGGCTTCTGCTAACACACAATCCTCATAAAGTGGAACGGCACTCTGGAATCGATTCCCAAAAAAAAAAGGGAGACAGATTGCAAAGGGCTAATCACCAGTATAGCATGTGGTCTCCCCATTACTACCTTACCATGCCTTGTTCTGCATTGTATCTCTGATTTGAAAGCAGACATCTTGGCAAAGGGGCACAGGAGTGCCTAGGCATCCCTGTATACCAGGAAACGCATTGCTGTTTTTTCAGGAGGAATTTAAGACAAATGTACATGTTTCAGGGTATGGCTTAGCACAGTATATTGCTAAATGTTCCCTATAACCTTAATCTGTTTAGTGTTCTATCCATTTTAAGAAGCGTGTGGATTCTACGTTCACTGTTCATTCTTGTGACTTTAGCATAGCCACCCTCCAAGGAGATTAACATTACAAGAACAATTTTTTTTTCTCTAACAAGCTGTTGTCACAGTCTGTTTTCTTTGCATGTCATTCATAGGAACCCAGTAACAAGAGGGTTAAGCCTGTCGCAAAGTCTTTATCGTCCAACAGCACGCCTCAGCAAACGAAAGTCACTCCACTGAAGAAGCTCAGCTTATCCATCCAGGTAATAAAAGGCACAGAAAGCGGAATTTAGTATGACCTGAGGTGTCAGAATCTGGAGCAGATGTGCATTGCAACCATCAGCTTTCATTTTTACAGTTTAACTAAAAAAAAAAAGCTGAAGTTAGAAGCTGATTGGGTACTAAGCACAGCTCCTCCAAATTCTGTCTGCTCTAGTTTTATTAAATTCCCCCCCAGAATGTGGAGGTCCATGCCTGTGGTCTGTGTTTTGGACAAGTAGGTCTTGGCCTGCAGCATTACTATTGCTGATTTTTACTTACCTCCCTACCAACAAATATCATTTGTGGTGACATCGCTAAACCTCATGGTAATAGCAAAAGGTAACCTGCTACCAGAAGAGGAGGTCATTGACCATCACCAGTAGTAGAACATTTTACAGAAGAGGAAACAGATTTTTAATGTCCATTATCTCTTCGTCAGCATTTATTTACAGGATGATAACCACAGAGGTTTCTGAATGTGTCTTACGTACACTAATCTTTTGTGAGTAAAGATAGAATTCTCAATGCTAAACAGTTTTGGGTTCAGTGTCAGTATTGCACTTGGAGAGAAGGAGACTGGGCTCTCTGTGTTCATAATCTTTCTGCAGCACATAGTGGAGGCACCCTCTTGTGGACTCCTTAAAGTGGAGCTGTCACCATCTTTAACACTGTAATAGACTGATGTGCAAAATACATGGTAAATAATAGATAAAATATTAATAATACAAAATTAATACAGACCTAATACAGGTGCACACACTTGGGTACCATTAAACCTGTGAGGTTTATTAATATCTTTATTGACATTATTGTAACAAAACACCATATAAAGTAGTAATGGCTTTTAGTGTTAGTTTATTTACTTTTTGAATACCTTCAATTTTTCACTGTTTTGTAAAAACATCCTTAGAGAAGTCTAGCGGAGCAGATAGGAAAAATAATTCTTGAAGAAGAAATTCTGAGTACTGAGTACCTAGTGGTGATCAGTAAGAAGAAAAAGACAATAAGGAGGAATGTGACCAGTAAGTTAAAGGTGTAGATGGCTTTATGGATGTGGGGAACAGCGTCCTGGGTTAGTGGGGGAATGGGTTAGTTGGATGGTGGCATATTTCTTTCTTTTGTTCCCTCTTCTACTTCTCTGTGTTGTTAGTAGGGGATGGAATTTGGGAAGTTTTTGAGTTCCGATCCCTAGCCATCTCCATAAGACTTGAATTCACCTTCTTTTCTTACTGTTATTTCTTTATGCAGTATTAGACCAATTGAACTTGAGAATCAATGCTTATTTGAAGTAAGTGTTGGGGGAGTTACAGTATATTCATACACAAACATTACTTGGTTAATATTTTAGCTTTTTAATGACCAAAATATGTCAACAAATATGGAGAAATGTGAATATCTCTTGACTGTAACAATACTACTTTACACTTACTGGATCAATTCTAGTTTATTGATACTTCATCAAACATAATGTACTCTTTGGAAACCTATAAAAACTACAGACAAAAAGATGGACTTACACTAGTTTATTCTCCTTTGAACCCAAATTGCTACAGTGAAAAATGGTACAAAGGAATAGCGAGCAGCAAATAATGATCAACCATATTTTCACAAAGTCTTTAGTGAAGTTGCAGTTGGTATTGGGCCCAAGAGAATGGGGGGACTGTGAACCTAAAGGCAGAATGTTGACTAACAGATTCCAATCTTTGCAGCGTTCTATAGGCTGTTGCAATGACAATCGTCTTTTCAGCTTCTATCCACGTACACGGAGCCGAGATTCAGCATCAGCTAAGAAGAGGAACAGCAAGTTGTGGAGTGAGACCTATGACAGTGCACGGGAGGAGCTGTCCACCCGGGAGATCAAACGTCAGGAGGTGAGGCCCAACTATACCATGAATGCTGTTACAAATACCAGTTCCTTCTTTATGATTTATTAAAGGATTAATTTATCCTAAACTAAAATGTGATGGGACTGATCAACTATGACCTTTTTCTAACCTTTAGTGATTCTTACAGAGTCAATATATCCTTTCTGGCAGCCACTCTGGCCTTAAAGATTTTGTCCAGACCTCTCTTAAACATCAATAATTAAAGTGGTTGTAAAGGCTGAAGGTTTTTTTTACCTTCATGCATTCTATGCATGAAGGTAAAAAACCTTCTGTGTGCAGCAGTGCCCCCAGCCCCCTCAATACTTACCTGAACCTCATCGCGATCCAGTGATGTGAATGACAGCCTCGGCTGTTCCGGGTGTCTGCCTCCTCATTGGCTGAGACAGCAAGCAGGAACCATTGGCCAGTCAGCCAATGGGGGGAGAGAGGAGCCGGGGCTCAGACATGGCTCTATGTGTAAATGGACACACAGAGCAGCGGGTACCCCTATAGCAAGCTGCTTGCTGTGGGGGGCACCCGGCAGGAGGGAGGGGCCAGGAGAGCCTGTGGGGGACCTGAGAAGGCTGCTCTGTGAAAAACCACTGCACACAGTAGAAAAGTATAGAAATGTTTGTTATTTTCCAAACAAAAAAAGTTAACCTTTCAAATTGCTTTAAAAGATAAAACTACAGGAGATAGATTTGCATGTCATCACTCACTCTACTTCAACATCTACCATCGTTTGTTTTTTTCTTTCACGATGTGCAGTGATGAGCTTTTTTGTTCTGCTGCTATTCAGAAGGCAGGGACCTTTACTCACAGAGCATCAAGATACTTCAGGAGAGTTAAAGATATCTAATGTTTTATGCAATGCAAATATTGTAGTTTCTGTGGAGCTGAATTACATTTTACTTGTGTACTATTAATTAACTCTCTACTTCCTCCTAGTATAGTGGACACCCCTATATACTAGACCCTCTGTAAGGGCCAGTTCACGCCACTTCTGCCTTCCAGTTGCGTTTTGCATGATCGTTTATATGTGTTTTTGATGTGTTCTGGTGTTTCTTTTCCCCTTCTTTATTTCTTCATCTTCATTATTGACATGTGCATTCCAGTTCTATTTGATGTGTTTTGCCTCCTTCCATATAAAAAAAATGCAGCATGTTTTACTTTGGTTGACTGCAGTGGAATGCACTGCACTGGTGTGACCTAGGGTCTATGGAATCCTTGGTAAACACTGCCCATGCATTTTTTGATGCAGAGTAAAAACACACTGGACTGCAGTTGGTGTGAACCAGCTATAGGGTTCTGTACATCACAAGCAATATAGTAGGTCCCAGGGTTTCTTCTATGTAATGCATGATCTCTATTCAGTTTGTTGTATATATGACAAATATAATTTACACACAGGTGATCTTCGAGCTGATGCAGGGGGAGAGCACATGCTAATAGATGACCTCAACCTAGTCAAGAAGGTAAAAAAAAAAAAACCTGCAAGAAAATCAGTATTAAAAAATGTAAGATTGTGAAACTCCATTAGTGCTCCTGTGTGTTTCTCCTCCTCCCCCTCTTGCCTTCTATGTAATATAATTTATATTATGTAATTACAAATGTCTATGTAATATAAAAATAACTTAAACTCCAATCATGGAGATCCAGACCCCTGGTAATGACCTTAGCAGGTGTATAGACCTTGAAATTCAAGTGTATAGATCACATTTACTAGGCACCCACAGGAGCTAAAAGGAACCGTACAGTGGTTTAGAGGAAACATTAAAATGATCACTTGCAGTTGGCTGTGCCCCACACTGCAAGAGTTAAATGCTCATTTATGCCTAGGGGACATAGAAAAAGAACATTTACTTACCTGATCCTCCTAGACTGGCCATATATTTTTCTCCATGTTCCAAAAAACTTAAAATGTGACAGAATATATCAAACAATGAATAAGCACATATCTAGGGTGCTGCTCACATCATAATGTGTTCCTGCACATGACCGGTAAATATTTAATAATTGGTATGTGGCTCTCCCTATATTTCACTCTTTAAGACTCAATATATCAACTGTGTACACACATACATTATAAATACAATTCATATAGCAAACATCCATGAATAACAGTATAATCCAAATGCATAAATAAAAGTCTATTGCAAATTTCTGTGATGAAATAGAAAAGTCCAAATCCAATATATTGTGTTAATGCATATCTTCCTCCACTCAGTACACTCTTGAATGTATATCGCATGCAACGTGGATCCCATCATCTTCTTTCCGATGCGCTTTTTCAATAGAAAAAAAAACATATACCTGTAGTCTTATACCTTTCCCAGGCTTCTACTAATATAAAATTGTAGATTGTAGTTTCTTATGAAATATATTTTATATTTTTCACTAGATGGCAGATCTCCGTTAGTAATAATTATATATCTGTAGTCATATATCTTTCCTAGGACTTTAATAACATACACTTGTACATTTTAGTTTGGTATGAGAATATTTTGTATCAATTTATACACGGTTGATATATTGAGTCTTCAAGAGTGATTCATAGTGAGCTCCGCATATCAATGACTAAATACTTATCTGTGTTAGACATGATGATGCGGAGGGACAGTCCACTGCCAGGAGAGTGGAGGATCAGGTAAGTAAAAGTGCTTCATCTTTTTCCTAGACAAAATGAGCAGGTAACTCTTGCAGTGCGATTGCAATCCGCAAGGGATCATTTTAAAGTTTCATAGGAAAGGGAAGAATTAGAATGTTCCTTTTTTTTTTTCTTCTTACTGTGTTTGCATTGCAAAGATTATCCCTTCACTTTTTGTCCCAGTGACAGAACAGGAATTGCTTCTTTGTGTGTCTCTGTTGGAAAGATTCTACTACTTTCCTATACCACTGACACCATAGGAAGTCAGGGGATATCTCTGTGTAAAATGAAGTCAAAAAAGTTTGGCTGGGGTTAAGTTTACTGTCCCAGCATCTACTGAACTCTAAAATGTCAATATTGGTGGAGCTGATCACTTAAATCAGTGATTATACTCTTATGTGGTATAGGGGCCTCAACTAATGGCCCCTGACATCACCACTAATATTCAGTGTATGTAATACTAGTGAAGATTGTCAGAGACTACAGGTTTGTTACAGTTGATAGTAAGAGTCTTTAGATACGCCTCAGGTATTGGAGACTGGAGACATGCTTGCAGGAGCATCAGAGACTGAGCATGTGGCATGAGACTGCTAGAGATCACTGCTATTAAAGCACCCTTTACAAATCAAATCAGTGCTTCCACTAGTGACTGCTGGGAGCCAAGGGATACACAGCAAGTGCTAAAGGGCCTCCAGTTGAGCCCCAGGGCTTTATATAAATCTTTTGCTGGTATAACTTGCCTAGAATTAGTTCCACCATCCACAACAGTTAGATATGGAGTTTCTTTGGTATATGTTGGTACTCTTGACCCTTCTGTATACCCCCCGTTCCTGCAGTGCAGAACCTGCTCACTATTCCTTGTGTGGATTGTTCTTCTAGAACTACTATGAGCCCATGCTAAAACTGGCGATCATGAGTGAGGAAGAGCTGAACCAGATATTTGGCATCCTGAACTCTCTGCCCTCACTGCACCAAGGTGAGATGGTTATTATACAGTACTGGTAGGAAATACAAACAGTTGGTGTCATTAGTCAGGTTTGGGTATAATCTTATAACATGCCAAAAAAATGTATTCTATATACTGTTACACTACATGGAGAATAATACAAATATCTCTATTCGGGAACAGGCCACCATGCAAAGCAAAATTAAAGTGTCACTTTGGATAGGTATACAAAACACTCCTTAGTCAAGTTATGTATTTACTTATATAGTCATTATCCATGGAGTTCATAAAGACTGGCGAAGACAGATTTTGCCAAAGTGTCTCTCATATGTTCAAAAAGTGGTGCAGCATGCGCCAAATCCATGTACCTGTCTAGAACTTGCACTTGATTTTGGTGCATGCTGCAGCACCTTTAGAATGCTCTCAAGCCACTTTCACAAAATCTCTGCACCAGTTTCTCTCTGTATGCCAAAAGAGAGTGGGTCTTAATTAGCTCCACTTCCATAGGAGACAAAGGGATTTGTTTATTAAAACTCAAGAGTGCAAAATCTGGTGCAGCTGCACATTGAAACAAATCAGCTTCCAGGTTCTATTGCCAAAGCTTAATTGAACAAGCTGAAGTTAGAAGCTGATTGGCTATCATGCACAGCTGCATCAGATTCTGAGTGCACCACTTTTAGTAAATCTCCCCCATACTGTTGGTATTTTATTTTGAATTTGGTGCATTCTTAGTGCCACAATGTAGAGGTGGCGCATTCAATGAGCCACAATGTAAGATTGCCGAAATTGGTGCACGAGTCTCTGTCAGAACCAAAATTATCGCAGATGCTTCATGAATTTCGTGCAATACTTTACCAAGAGGGATTAACGCCAGAGTAGTGGCACAGCGGCTTTATTGAATTCCCCCCAATATGTTTTAAAGAAACCTGTATTGCATGTAGACTGCCATTGCTGACCTTTCCTTCTAAAAAAGAATGCTATTACCCTCGCTGTCATGAGTACTTTCTGCCATGATCAGGAGTTCAAACTTTTCTTTGACTTTCCAATCTGCTTGTTTGCTCAGGACCAGTGATCGAGAAAACACTGAAGATAGGGACAGCCAGGCAATTGGCATTTTCAGTCAACAATGCTGGCCTTCATTCAGCAGATTTAAATACTGCTAGTGTAACTGTCTTTCTTATTATCTTCTTAAATTTCCTCACACAGCAGAAACTGGATCAAATGTTACACAAAGCCGCAGTAGTTTTTAGTGAGCTTGTGAATCACAAGACTTGCTAAATATTGTAGCAGGTAACAACGTTAATTTATATGTATTTATGATTGGAAATTGGCACACACAAAAAAAAAACACACACACTATATATATATGCTGTATATTACACAAAAGATTGCTATGGGTGTTTAATGCACTGATTTGATGCAAATGGCACTTAGCATAGTTCTACTTTTAAAATAGATCTAATCCCTTACAAAACAACATTTATGCATGTATTGTAAAACAATTGTCTTTTTATTTATTGAATTTTTTTTTTTTTCTTAAACCATAATTTTTATTAGGTTTTATCAATAGAGAGAGATAAAAAAAACAAAATAAAAAAGAATAACAAACAATGAGATGTTTACAATAAGGGACTTCCAGAGCATAACATGCACTTCATAGGATGTTGAGTACAATGGAATATAAAAGGATACAGTAAGATTATGAACTGTCAAAGGATGTATTCAATATAACTAATATTCAGCTGCCAAATATGGAATAATAGATATTAGATTTTAGGAGCATCAGTCAACCCAAGGTTTCCATGCTTTATCAAAGGTGGGGCGAGAGGCTAACCTGTAAGATAAAAATTTTTCGTATCAATAGTTTAGTCTGACCATAACCACTACTTCAGATGGGTTGGGGTCAGGTTGTATTTCCGATGCCAACTATGATTGTGTTGGTCGCCACAAGGATGTGGGTTATTGCTACTCTGTATACTGAAGGGAATGTCTCCAGACCAAGGTGTAAAATAGCTAGTACTGGATCTGGGTGAATTAAAATTCCAGAGATTTCTGAAATAAGAGACATTTTTTTTTTCCAGTAGCTAGTTAGATTTTTACATGATCAGGTGTGGAAAATAGTGCCGACTTGCCCACATAATCTTCAACAGATTGGGGAGTTAGATGATTAATATTTTGCCAACTGTGAAGGGTCCGATACCATCTGTGTAAAATCTTTTCTGTTAACTCCAAATGGTTAATACAGTGTGTTGCTTTATGGCTGTGGTCCATTGTTCAAAGGTGAAGGAGTGGGCTAAATTCGACTCCTACACCAATATAGGAGGAGTTTTGGTGCAGAGTTTTATATATAATAATAGATATGCATTTACAGGCAATGGATTGGGTGGTGTAAATTCCCATACAGACTTATTGACAGAGACAGTTGGAGGGGGTGGTTTAGAAAGAAAGCTTAGTATATGAGTATGTTTGAAAAGGGTAGTTTTAGGGATGTCATATTCTTTTGATAGTAATGCAATGCTTTTGGGAGCATTGTCTGCATAGAGTTCGTCAACCCATTGGATACTTTTAGCAACCCAAGGTGTGACCAAAACATAGGGATAAGAATTTCCAGGATGGTAGTTGGAAATCTCAAGGGCATGGTATGGTGATTTAGGTGTGAGTTTTGTAGAAGTGTATGCCACGCTAATAGAGAAGCCTGGATGGTTGGAAGAAAGTGGGATAGATTTAGTGGATCCACGCATCTGCTAGTAATCGTAAGAACAGTAAGTGTATACTAGTGGAGTGTGTGCTTGCGGTTTCTGTTTCTACCCATAAGGCTTCAGTAGGGGTAAGGAACCAATGTTTGAGCTGGGAAAGTTGTACAGCTAATTAGTAGTCTTTGATGTCAGGCAAGCTTGCACCTCCTACTGTTCTGTTAGATGGACATGAGAACAGCGTGCTCTTCCCTTGCCCTATAAACTGTCTGAAGACCTTGTTGAATTCAGCTGTGAAATTTTAAATGAAAGGGGCAATGTCCGAAACAAATCTAGGATCTTAGGGAGGGCTACCATCTTGAAGGCTGCAATTTTACCCATCCATGAGAGTTCAAATTTGGAGATACAAGTCAGTTCTTGACGAAGTTTGGAAAGAAAAGGTTTAGGATTTATCTCGACAATTGATGTGAAGGATGGAGTTAGTGTGATCCCTAAATATGGGATGCTTTGATCAGTCCATTGGTAGGGAAGAAGTGCAGCCAGATGATCTCTAGTATATTTCTTAATTTCTAGGTCTAAAATGAAAGATTTATTAAAATTGACTTTATATTATGAGAGTGAACTAAAGTGTGTTAATATATCATGAGCAAAGGCAGAGAGATAAGTTGATTGGTCAGGAGGAGCATTGCATCATCTGTGGATAGATTAATAACATGAGAATGGTAATGAAAGCGAAAATCTGAGATATGGGGGTGCGAGCAGATGGTTTCCCCGCTAGAGGTACTATCATTAAATTGAAAAGGGAAGGGGAGAGTGGATAACCTTTGCGTGTGCCCTTGGTAATGACAAAGGATTTAGACAGAAACCCTGATGTGTATACTTGCTCTGATGGCTGGAATATAGTGCTAATATGAGTGAGAATTTTTCCTTGAAAGCCAAATTTAGAGTGGACAGTGGTCATGCATCCCCAGTGGACCTTGTCGAATGCCTTCTCTGCATCTATGGAGAGAAGCAAAGAAGGTGTCCTACTAGCCCTAGCATGGTGGATAATGTTTAGGATGTGTCTAGAGGCAATTTACCAGGAGAAAACCTCTCCTTCTGTTCCAGATCTCCTAGACCGCCTGCTGAAGTTGCGCCGTGAGGATGGAACGGTTGATCAAGTGGGGCCAGCAATGCTAGAATGGGTGAGCAGAATCTTAGCCCTTCGCTGTGTGATAGTTACACAATGAACAATCAATATTTTAAAGCAAATTCTTAATATGTCTTTCAAATGTCTAGCTAACAGATGGGAAGCCTCAATTTTTGTCATTATCTCTTTACGGGACTGAGATTGAGTTTTGCAGCAGTTTTCTTATTTCGGGTCACAATCCTGCGCAATGTCCTTTTATCTCATTCAGTCAGTTGACCATGTCGACCGCGCTTATACTTATCAGACGATGTTTTCCTAGAAATTGCCATCATAACCTTTGATACTGTACCTCGTGACACAGCAAATAAATTGGCAACTTCAGTCACAGAGGCACCAGCTAAGTGGCACCAAATAATTTACCCTCTTTGAAGCACAGTAAGCTCTGATATGACTCCTAATTACTAGCAGCCATGCAGTGAATGACAAAAGTGAGGATTCCCAGCTAGGTGTGTTATCACACAGCGGAAACAAAAGAATGTTATATCACTTCCGTTTTCAACAAGAAACATGTCTTCGCTTTCACACCAGAAAATCATGTAGTGTTTCCATTTATTTGTCTAACCCCTGTATATACAAGCTTCAACTACACATACTGGATAGATTGTCTTTGCATCAATAAAAAACTACCTTTTGTAGTATTTCATTGTATTTGAAGTTTGTATATATATATTTTTTAAATAATAATGTGAGAATATACCTGTTTTGATACAGCTTTGCTTCCTGTATGTAATTTTCCTGCTGAAGCCAATTATGGCGAAATATGTCAAAGTATCTACTTGAAGCTGTAAAGTTGGACAAGGCCAATTTTGTATCAAGATATTTTATGATATTATATTATTGTTAAATGAAATGTTACGATTTTATTTGAAAAGAAAAAAAAAAAATAGTGGTTACATTTGGTACTTATAAAATCCTGTCTACAGTCATCACCAGTATTTATATTTTGGGACGAGGTACCTTCCGGTATGGTAACTGCTTCACATAGCTTCTTACACTATACTTTACAACCACTTGAAGCTTGAGTCTGCTAGGTAAATAGTTAACAATGGTAGCCTCTGCATTGCTCTCATTACTCCTTTAACAAAAGTCACTGTCACTATTTTGTTCCATTAAATAATAAAAATGCTCTGCAGATTCCTTATCTCCAGTCCTACAAGACATACTGCTGCAACCAAGTGTCTGCCAAGACTCTGCTGGATCACAAAAGGAGAAGCCAGGCTGTACACAACTTCCTACAGCTGTGCCAGGAATCAGCCTTCAGCCGTAAACTGGATGTGTGGAGCTTCCTTGACCTACCCCGGAGCCGACTGGTGAAATACCCACTTCTGCTGAAGGAGATACTGAAGCACACAATGGTAGATCACCCAGACCATGGACCCCTGAGTCAGGCTGTGAGTAATGCACATAAAAGTGTCCCATCATTTACTTCCAGAGATGTGTCAAGATTTTGGATAGCTATATAGAATGTACAGAATTACAATATCTATGAATCCCAAAAAGAGCTTCAAATCTACAGCCCTTACCACAGTCATTTATTTTCTAGTACACTTTTGACGAACAACAGCAAATAGACACAAACTCAAATGCCATGCATGGGGTCCTAATGGGGTTCAAATCTGGGACCGCAGAGGTGTGATGCCTAAAGCACAGCACTGCTCACTAGTTTGTCAGTAAAATGTTTGCATGACGGAAATGAAGATTACTGTAACCCTTCTAACCTTACCAACCTACAGAGCATGCCCAGGCACTATGCAGTGCTGCAGATACTGTCATTGTTACTTCGCTTTTCTTTACTCAAGAGAGCCACTTATCCCAGGAGCCTGCTAAAACTTTACAAGTCTGCTGTACCTCAAACCAATGTTAGTGGATCAGCTGCCAATGTCACTCCTCTTGTTGCATAGCTGGATGCTGAAAGGAGACATGGCTCCAATCTCACAGAGGCCGAGGTCACAATTGCAGTGTGCTTGGGATCCAGGTATCCCTATGTAATAACAAATATACCTGTATGCATCACACAGTGTCTGATTGTACTGGGTATTGTATAGGAGGCTGTGACATTTTCTATTTACCACTTATTGGGGGCAAAATTTCCTCACTGGAGTTCCCATTACTTCATATCCATACCTGGGTACCTCTGTCAGTCCCACTCCTCCTGCTCCATAATGGAAGATAAACTAAAACTCCCACAGGAGAAGCGGGACCAACTTTGAATGTGACCAATGGGGAAATTTGGGAACTCCGGTACTCACAGGTACCATGGCAGATCACTCCCACTGAAATATAAAGTTTGTATTCAGTAGACTGCCCATTTAAAATGTCAGTAGCAGGCTAATGACTAATATCCCTTGCAAATCTCTGAACAATGCTGGCTCTGCAGATATTTCTATTCTCCAAGGAGCAGGACCCCCCTATTCCTCTTGTATTGAACTGTATTGTCTCCCTTTATATTGTAAAGCGCTGAGCAAACTGTTGGCGCTATATAAATCCTGTATAATAATAATAATAATTATTTTTTTCGTCTTTTAAAGAGAAATCTTATGAGCAATAATGCTCAATTGTCCATTCTCTGTTTAGGTGAATGTCATTCAGACCATCATAAGCCAGATAAACAGCAAAGCTGGAGAGGCCGAGTGTGAATATTATAAGAAAAGGTTGTCCTATCTGTATGAGAGTCAGAATGAAGAGGAGGTGTCACGTTCTCGAATTTTGCATTGTCATGGAGAGCTGAAGAACAACAAAGGCCAAGTAAGACTGTCAGTCTTCTATAAAGAGGAATGGGTGGAAAACTGTGTCTGCCTGCTGCTGTTCAAGTGGTTGTAAATCTCAGACATTATTATATGAACAAAGCATATCCCTCTATAGCAGGGATCTCTAAATGGCGAACTGCAGTGCGGACCAAGCGACAGGTCTGTCTGGACTACTGTGGCCACGCTATTCAGCTGCCTGTGTTCCCTTCTCCTTCCCACACTCTGTCAAGACCTGCTAGCACACCCATCCTCTGCCCCACTATGAAGCTGACACTATCATCTTCACTTCAGGGCAGAGGGCGGAAGTCCCGGCTGGTCTGGTTAGAAGGCAGGAGCAGCCCCACTTTTCAAGCTAACTAGCAGTGATTGGCTTGCTACAACACAGGGCGGTACTGGCAACCTATCGCTCACTAGTTATCAGGAAAGGTTGGAAATCTCCTGCCCTTCTTTCTGATGCACCTGCCTCTCTTTGCCCTGCTGTGTAAGGTAAGAATAGGTGCAATGTAAAAGGGGGACGCTGTTGTCTTAAGGGAGGCTGTCATGTAAAGAGTAGCACTGTGATGTATATGGAGGGACTGTGATACAAAGCAGGGCTGTGATGTAAATGCAGGCACTGTAATGTAATATAAGGGTGGCTGTGATGTAAAACTGGGTGCTGTAATGTAAAGGGGGTTGTATTTACAGAGGTGGACTGTGATGTAAACAGGGGACTGTGATGTGAAGGGGTGTATGATAAGGGGTGTATGATATGAAGGGACTCTATGATGTAAGGGGGGCTGCAATGTAAAGGGAGGACTGTGATGTAAATGGGGGTTGTATTGTAAAGAGGAACGTTGTGATGTAAAGGGGGGGATGTTGATGGGAAGGGGAGGACGGATGACACTGATGTGAAGGATTTGAGTCACAGAACAAATATGAGATTCGGACTTCTGCTGGAAGAAAATTCATTTGAAAGGACTCCAGTGCCCCGGAACACGCAGGGAAGAAGTCCCTGCACTACTTCAGAAACCACAGTCCGCAGGGGAACCAAGGTACCCAGTACCGTTGCGATTTCCAGTTTGGCAGCGTGCCGTTAGAATTAATGGTACCCACCTGCAGGTCCCACATTCTTCTCTGTGGGTGGTGTGGCTGCAGGTATTTGTGTGGATCCCGCAGCAGGACCACAGCTAAAGAAGAATATCAGGGGTATATAGAATGCAGTTGTCAGGAGTATGTCGTTTAAACCTCAGTTTACAGTGTGCAGTGGTCAAGAGTAGAGATCAGGAGAGTGTAACAGGGAGTGCAGGAGTCTAGAGTGCACAGGCTGCAGGACTCTGTATTAAACACCTCCACTCTATGCAATTTGTACTCTTGAGTGCAGGGGTCAGGATATGTAATGCAGAGAGTGCAAGAGTCAGAAGTAAGTCATGCAGAGTGCAGCAGGCAGAAGTCACACAGGATAACAACCAAAAATAACCCCTAACACCATTTATATGCAAATTACATTCTTGGTATAGACAACAATTTGCATATGAATGTAGGATGGGCACTGTGTACAGAAGCAAAGCCATAAAGCCCCTGCCCAAGGGACAGTGGGACTGAGCTGAAAAGCCAGGACAGTTCCTCACACTCCAGAAACTGTTTGAAGGTATACCTAACAAAGGAGGCCTGCGTGGTTCAGAAACATTACACTGATGTGAAGTGATCTCTTTTCAATAAAAAAAACCTTTGGACTTTATCTGAAGATCTGTGGTGTGTTGGCAAATATTTCCATTGCTCTGTGCGCATGGTTCCAGTTGTTGCTGTAGCACTCATTACTTTCGAGCATTTTTTCCATGAATGTGATGGGAATATTGGAAGGGGATAGGAATATTCATCTGTTTGAAGGTATGGTACACCATTTAATGACTCTACAACTATATGTCCTTTTAGGGAAAATCATTTCTTGTTATACTACATAGAATACATTGCTTGGCAGTGCGCAGGAAATAAAAATAAGGAGGTATATTTTTTTTTTTGGCCAATGGACCTGGATTGAGGTCTGATTAAAAATAAATGGCCTTGCTCAATGCAACATGCACCTGTAACTTGTCAATTTTGAGAAAGTTCAAACAAGATAAAAATTAAACCTGACTGATTTTTTTTTTTTTTTTTGTTTCAATACGTTTCACCAGTTTATTAAGCTGCTTTGGTTGATTTATTTTTTTTCTTGGTAAGAAAAGTGTTCACGACTTCTCACTGGAAATTTCTCCAAATTATTATTATAATCCATTATTTTCGAGAAAGAACAGACTCAAGGGGACATTTGTTTTCCAAATGCTGTTTATCAGTTTACTTTTAAAACAATTTTTAGCATGTTCATAACTGTTCAGTGTCTAACTTTTAAGAACTATAGAAACATTTTGCTGTTCAGTAAAAAGTAGTAATTATGTTGAGTTTATAAAATAATTTTTTTTTTACTCAGGAGCAAAACGTAAGTGTTTATAATTGCCCATGTTTTTTTTTCTTTCTAGAGGCTTCACGTCTTCTTGTTTGAGAGCGTCTTGGTCCTAACGCGCTTAGTGAACCACAATGATCAGCCTCAGTTCCAGGTCTATCGTCAACCCATCCCTCTTCCAGAATTGGTGTTGGAGGACCTCCCTGATGGTGAAGTGCGAGTCAGTGGCTCCATTCGAGGAGCTTTCACAGCAGCCAGTGAGCGAGGTACTGGTTCATACCTCCAATTTATGTGGGTTACTGCAGCCTAATAGTCAGATTTTTTCACTATGCACCAGAGCCACAAAAGAGGTTTAGTTGCTGTGGGAGAATTAGGATTTTTTTTACTCACTGTAAAATTCTTTAATTGGAGTCCATTGAAGGACACAAAGGTTTTTAAACCATTGCATCATGCTGCTGCCCCCAGGAGGATTGGACACTAACAAACAAAAACTGCAGGTCAGCCCAGGAAAACTCCTATTACTACCAGCATGCCTTCTTAGTAGCAAAGCATTTAGTACTGCAAGATTATAAACACAGAGGAATGGGATTTGTATCCTCCAAGGTTTAAGAATTTTATGGGGACTACAAAAATCATATTTTGTTTTTCTTGTCAAGTGAGATACAGAATGTATTTAACCTATGGATATACAAAAGCAGTCTAACAGAGGGGTGGACAACACAGCAAAGAAACACTATGACAGGCTCAGGAAAAAAAAAAAAAAAAAAGGAGAATAGAAGACTGGGGACTGCCTGCCGCTCAAAGACGTACATAAAGGACCTTAGGCCTGAAGCTGGCATCAGATGAGGACAGAACATTCACCTGGTAGAACCTAGACAATATGCAAACAAAAGACCAGGTGGCAGCCTTGCAAAACTGGGAAACAGTTGCTTGATGCCGAAAAGCCCAAGAAGCACTCACAGATCGTGTAGAGTGAGACAATATGGATGGATGATGCTCTGACTAAGCCTACTAGAGATGGTGGAATGAGAATCCACCATTCAGGGTAACATAATAATCAGTCTTTGTGAAATAGGCAGTTGCTGAGAGACTCACCACATCCAGACAACAGAGGGAAATTTCCTTTTGGTGAACTGAGTGATGAAAGAACAGTGGGGTTTATTTACTAAAGCTGGTTCACTCAGAATCTGGTGCAGCTGTGCATGGTAGCCAATCAGCTCCTAACCTCAGCTTGTTCAATTAAGCTTTAGCAATAAAAACGGTAAGATTGGTTTGTATGTAGTGCACGAGATTCTGAGTGAAGCAGCTTTAGTAATGAAACCCTAATGCCTTAAGTGAGGTGAAAGACAGAAACCACCTTGGGCAGGAAGGAAGTACTGGGCCTCAACACCACCTCTGTCCCTATGAAAAATCAAAAAGGTTTCCTTGCAAGACACTCCTGCCAGGCCAAACACTTGGCTTACAGAGAAGATGGCTACAACAAGCATCAGTTTGAACCCATTAGGGACATTATATGTACACACACACACACGGAAATAAGTATTTGATCCCCTGCTGATTTTGAATGTTTGCCCACTCACAAAGAAATTATCAGTCCAAGAATCGAATGATAGGTGTATTGTAACACAGACAGAATAGAAACAAAAAATTCAAAAGAAATGCATGTCTAACAAATGATGCACTGATTTGCATGTTCATGAGGGAAATAAGTATTTGATCCCCTGTCATTCAGCAGGATTTCTTGCTACCAGGTGTCTTTCATACAGGTAACAAGCTGAGATTATAAGCAGTCTCTTAAAGGGAGTGCTGCTAATCTCATTTTGTTACCTGTATAAAATACACCTGTCCACAGGAGCAATCAATCAAATTCCAAACTCTCCACCATGGCAATGACCAAAGAGCTGTCCAAGGATGTCAGTGACAAGATTGTAGTCCTATACAAGGCTAGACTGGGCTACCAAACTATTTCCAAGCAGCTTGGTGAGAAGGTGACAACAGTTGGTGCAATGATTTGCAAATGGAAGAAACACAAAAAAAACTGTCAGTCTCCCTAGGTCTGGTGCAGCATGCAAGATCTCACCTCGTGGAGTGTCAATGATCATGAGAACAGTGAGGAATCATCCCAGAACTACATGTGAGGATCATGTCAATGATCTTCAGGCAGCTGGGACCACAGTCACCAAGAAGACAATTGGTAACACACTATGCCGACAAGGATTGAAATCCTGCAGTGCCCTCAAGGTCCCTCTGCTCAAAAAGCACATGTCCTGGCCCGTCTGAAGTTTGCCACTGAACATCTGAATGATGCAGAGGAGGACTGGTTGAAAGTGGGGTCAGAGGAGATCAAAATCGAGCTCTTTGGTATCAACTCAACTCGCCGTGTTTGGAGGAGGAGGAATGCTGCCTATAACCCCAAGAACACCATCCCAACTGTCAAACATGGTGGTGGAAACATTCTGCTTTGAGGGGTGTTTTTTGCTAAGGGGACAGAACAACTGCACCACATCAAAGGGATGATGGACGGGCAATGTACTGTCAAATCTTGAGTGAGAACCTTCTGCCTTCAGCCAGGGCATTGAAAATGGATCATAGATGGGTGTTCCAGCATGATAATGACCCAAAACAAGGCAACAAAGGAGTGGCTCAAAAAGAAGCACATTAAGGTCCTGGAGTGGCCTAGCCAGTCTTCAGACCTTAATCCGATTGAAAATCTTTGGAGGGAGCTGAAAGTTGCCAAACGTCAGCCACCAAACCTTAATGACTTGGAGAGGATCTGCCAAAAGGAGTGGACCAAAATCCCTCCTGAGATGTATGAAAACCTGGTGGCCAACTACAGGAAACGTCTGACCTCTGTGATTGCCAACAAGGGATTTGCCACAAGTACTAAGTCATTTTTTGTGAAGAGGATCAAATACTTCTTTCCCTCATGAACATGCAAATCAGTGCATCATTTCATTTGTTAGACATGCATTTCTTTTGAATTTTTTTGTTGCTATTCTGTCTGCGTTTCAATACACTTACCATTCGATTTTTAGACTGATCATTTCTTTGTGAGTGGGCAAACATTCAAAATCAGCAGGGGATCAAATACTTATTTCCTTCACTGTACACACATGTCAGAGGAGCTGGGGGGAACTACTCAGAGACCCCCTGCACCAAGGTCTTAAAGAGTGTGTGGTCAATTGTTTCTGAAACAGTCAGAAACATGACAGTTGATGGGACAAAGTCAAACAGCCAGAGAGAGGAGAGGATTAGAACCACAGAGAAGCTCCAGGGGATGGAAGTCCTGAGGCTCACACCAAGTGAAGTATGCCTACCATGTTAAATTATAGTTTTTGTAAGTAGTGAACTTCCTAGCTTTTAACATCGCAGGAACATAGGTTCAAACAACCATGCCATTAAAGTCTGTCAGTGTGAAGCAGACTGGTAAATTAATTCCTGGCAGAGAAGATTCTGATAATATGGCAGAGCCCACACAGTGTGTGCAAGAAGTCTTATCAAATTAGCATACTACATCCACTTGGGACAGTCCAGGGTAATGGGGAATACTGGAATGGCCTCCATCTTTATTCTGCTATGCAGACTAGAAAGAAGCTTCATGGGCAGAAAGGCATAGATCAAGGTGTGTAGATCCCAGAGCCACTGTTTCTGCCAGAGGATCCCTATACCTAGAGACAAACTTTTTCAGTTTGTTGTTGCACCTGGAGGCCGGGAAGTCAGCATCCCCCACCTGTGATATGGGTCCTAAAGCACTTCTGGGTTTATGGACCACTCTCTTGGGTCCAAGTGCATTGCTATATATCACCGCCATACTGTTTTCTGACTGAATCTAGATCAGATAACCTTGCAGCTGGGTGGTCCTACACTGCAGAGAAAGTCAAGTCCCCTGCAATGACAGGGTACCCAGGGTTCATCCCTAACCTGACAAGCTGCCAATCATCATTAAGATCTTCCAGAAGACAGAAAGGAAAGATTTCTGCGATTCCAGAGCCAAACTCCTGATCCACCAGACTAGGGACAACCTGGTCCTCAGTGCCAAACAGAATTATGCATTGTAGAGGTCTAGACTGAAACTGGGACTGCCTCAAAGAAGGCTACCATCAGACCCAAAAAATGGTGGAGAGTTGGATGAATTCTGGACTGGAGAGCTTGTATCTGAGACTGGAGATATTGCAGTTTCTCCTATGGAAGGAACACTCTGACTTACTCCATTTTTAGGAATAGACCATGATACTCCAAAGGATGTCTGTTTCAGCAATAGTTTCTGAAGGTTTAGGATCTATCCGAACTGCTGTATTATTTGGGCAGTTAATGCTATGTTGTGAGACACAGCCCACACCAACTGTTCCTTGTCTAAGTACATTCAGAGCTATGAGATCCAAGATAGAGCAAATGCCCCCTTAAGGTCTGAGAACTGTGTTGGAGAAATAAATCCTTGAATTTTTTTTGCCACAGGAACTGGGAGCAATGATGTCTTGGGCCAGAGATCTTGATGAAGATCTGCAAATTTGTGTGGTGACACAGGAGGGTTGGAAGTGAGAAAGCAGGGAAGTGGCAGAGAACAAAACACCAATTTTTAGGCCAGGGAAATCACTTCCTGCATCTAAGTGTCTGAGAAGCAATGGTTAACAAATGTCTCCCCCCCCTTTGTAAAGTGGGGATGAACTTTCAGGCAGAGGAAGGCTTGTCTGAGGATTTGGCAGATTTAAAGCTCCAGCCTTTGAAGTTGAAATGACACCCAAGCTTGGGGAGAGGTGTGGACATGGTGGATGTGAGATTAGAGAAAAAGGAAGTTTTCTTGACAGATAAAAGATCGATAACACTTTGTAGTCAATTTATTGAGCTTGTGCTATAGAAGAAAGGTATACTTGCCACCACTAGCATCCTTGATAATGTATCAATGGTAGATCATAAGAGATGTTCTGCAAAGGCCATGAGTATCAGATGCTTCTTGAATGCAGTTTCCACAGCCCAGCATCTTAAAGCCAATCTCCAGGGAAATTAGAAATCCTACCTTGCAGTGCAAGATCTCTTTTAGGGGCTTTTGCCCAATCAGCCATGGTTTGGCAAAGTAAAGTCACAGCCAGGAAGGGAGAATTGGAACAGCAGGTACAATGGGAAAATCTTTGCAGCCTTAGGGGCTGTAAGGGATCTAAGACTGGACGCAGCAGTAATAGATGCAACAGGCTGGTACTGTAGCTTCAAGGTGGTACTCACCACATCAATGAGAGATGAAACTCTTAACTTGGAATTAATAGCAGTGGACTGACTATAGCCCAAATCCAACAATTTTTGTTGACTCAAAGTCTT